AGGGGAGCAGCGCTGCCTGATGCAATTGAGCAACTTGTGAAACTTTTTTTTTTGTTAATTTTGAAGCTTTTGTCACATTCACTTGGCAATTTTTTGTTAACTTATTAAAATGCTTCCTGGTATGAGTTAATTTTTGCTTGAACGGGGTACGATATTTATATCTTCGAAATTTGCAAGGTGGTATTTGGCATTTACATGACTGTTGACAGAGAGAGAATGTTTGGTTTGGATTGTGTTGAATGGGTTATTTTGGCTGCGAATTTCTAAATTTTCGAGCTGGCTTGGGCAGTCTGCAGTCATGTTGGGTTAATTTGACCTGAGGTTTCTACAGGTGAACCTCCCTAAGTCAAATACCTCCCTGACTCAAATTTTTTTTTCAAGTCCCTGTCTGGATTCCCATAGAAACAATTTATTAAAAACCTCCCAAACTCAAAATATTTTTCTCTCAAACCTCTGTAAGTCAAATTTTCTAATGCCTTTTGGTAATTATTTCCTTGAAATATGAAAGATACAATCAACAAAATACATTATTTTATGCATTTTGAAATAAAGTGAAGGACTAATTGAACAAATGAACCCCTGCCTACAAGTTCAGCAGACTTAAAACTCATCAAGAAGCAAGTTTAGGCCCAGAATATCCTCATCTACAATTTCCCATTTTCCTTGGAGCAAAAATATTTGTTCCCTTTACCCCAAATCTCAAAAAATCGAAACTTCCCTAAGTCGAATTATTTTCTGGTCCCTAGAAATTCAGAGAGGTTCAACTGTACCTACAAAATAGTTCAGTTTATCTTTCCTTTGTCAATAATATCTTGAATTGGCCCAACAGCTAACTAATCTTAACCAAACCCATAACTTGACCAGTAAAACTTGATTTAAATGACAAATCCCCACATTAGTCCACTCAACAGTAATACTGGAACCCTTGATCAAAGTGTGTACAGTTTATTATGGAATTGACAAAACATCTGGCTTAGTCAAAAAGTAAGTAATCAGGGTCTGACCAACCTAAGCCCTGTAAAAGAGCAAGAATACCAAACATCTTATGACTTGAACAAATACAGGTGGTACCTGGCAATTTGACCATCCCACAATTTGACAGTGAAATTTGCTGGGAGGTGAAGTTGCAATTCAACCCACATAGAGGTGCAAAACATCAAATACAATCTAGAAAACATTGAATTTTGATGTTGTCTTGCAATTTGACTACTCTACTTCATGATTTGACCCTAGTCCAGCAATGGAATAGGGTTGGATTGTAGGGCAGCACCTGAACTGCATTTACTTGAGTACCTCATACCCTTGAGTGCACCCAGGTTTTTCAGCATGAAATTTTGGTAAAATTGTATCCCAAAGTAAGATGACATGAATTGAACCTGAGTTTAACTAATTTTCAATTGTTTCCAATAAAAGAAGTGTTTTCTGATGAAATTGTTTTTCAAACATTTCCCATCAGAATGAAGCATAATGCACGCCTAAACTTGTTGAAACATTTTGAAAATTTTATGCATGCTCTTTTTTTCTTTCAATTTTGAGCAAATAATTTTCTTGGGTGAATATGCTGATGCAAAAAAAAAAAAGGAAAAAAATAACCTATTCAACCAGGGGAAATCTTTGTGTGTTTTGCAATTGATTGACGGGGCATTCGAATTCAAGTCCAGGAACTTTATGAAAAACCCTTGCCGGCAAGGGAAAAAGGTTGATCCATTTTTATCTGTTCCCCCCATGTAAGAAGTTCACCCGTTCAGCTCGTGATAGGCTGCGGACCAGTGACGCGTGATGGAGAGAGCTAGAGCGTAGTTCAAGCTTGGCATCCCTTCTGTTGACTCTGTTTTCTGAGCTCCCCACCCTTTTTTTTTTTTTTTTTACCCCTTTTTTGTCATTTTTAAATTTTATTTCTGGGTCTTCCGTGTGTGCAGTGCAGGTCATCTCGACTGCGTCTCACTCAGGTCAGGTCAGTTCAGTTCAGTTTTCGTTTGTTGATTTTTTTTTTCGTGTTGAAAGACAAGAAATTCCTGGCGCGAGTGTCTCGAGGTGAACTTGGAAAAGCGTCGGTGATAATTTCATTATTCGTCTTTGAAAAGTGTGTGGGGGGGATAAAATGAATGGTCTTGAAGATCTTGATGTAAGTTTACAGTGCGTTGGTCTGATTAGATGTTGGATTGGTTGAACTCATAAATCTTTGAAGAAGAAAAAAAATATTGCGTTCTCAAAAGTATGCGTGTAGTGGAAGAGTTGAACTTTTTTTATTTCTGGGATATTTTGTGCGAGGTTGTTTGTTTTGAGTGCCTTAATTATTTTCATAAAGAACATTGGCTAAGTTGAAAAGTGGGAATTTTTCCAATTTTAATTATCTTTATAGACTGATATTTTGTCCTAATTGTTATCTTGAAGTACTCTTTTTTTTCTATGAATTTTTTGTTAAATACTTGCATGAAGACTTTTGTGTTTTTATCTCTTAATTTCAAGCAAATGAATGTGGTGGGGTCTTGATGAATATAAACTGTATTTCATCAAATCCAATTGTGAAGAGTGGGAAATTTATTCATTGTCTCTGCACCATTTAGACAATTTTCATGATGTGTGCAATTGATGATTAATTTCAGGGTCCTAAAAATCGCCAACACTGTACTGTAATTATGTAAAAGTGAATGAAATTATATTCTAGAATACCTAGATCCCTTGGCTATGTCCTTGAAAAATTCTTCATTAAATTGATATATATAACGTTTAATTAAAACGTTTTAAAAGAATTATGGCATTGCAGCAGATCAATACTAAAAAGCTTTCACCTGTTCAAAAACTTATGCTGGCAACCATATCTGTCAAGGCTGCATTGATTTTTTGAATAAATATCACTTTTTAATGCTTTTGAAGTATGGGTTACAATCCAAAAGTTGAACTTGTTAGAAAACCTGTGCAGTTCATGGTGGTGTTGGTTTACCAAGGTTTTTTTTTTTTTTACATTTTACAGTGATGCATTGATTTTTAGATATCGCTCTTCTGAAGTTTTTGAATAACCTGTTTTTTAGGTTTAGTGATTACCGACTTTTCACAAGTTTTTGCTCTCGAATATGTTTTAGCTAGCCTGATTAATTTTCGAAAGCTGTGGAATTGGGAACAATTGATTTCAGATGAAGCTGAGAGAAGAATTTTTTAATCTGCGACTGGATTGAAAAATAGAGGAGCATGTGAAACCACGTTCATGAATAACTTCCCTGCGCAATTCATGAATGCAGGGAAAGCTGGGAGGGTCCATCTTTCATCCTGGCTTTCGGATTTCATTGCTATGAATAGACCCAGTATAATACAGGGCTTTGTGAAACCACGTTCATGAATAACTTCCCTGCGCAATTCATGAATGCAGGGAAAGCTGGGAGGGTCCATCTTTCATCCTGGCTTTCGGATATCATTGCTATGAATAGACCCAGTATAATACAGGGCTGGACATTCCAGCAGCAGTACGCGCCATAAAATATGTACTCAAGCCAGAACTTTTTAATCTGTCCCAACTGCATAATCAAGCCCCTGCCAGGGACTGAATTTATTACCCTCTGTGTTGCACTTGAGGACCACTCACTCTGTCTTTCATGCCATTCTCTCTCTCTCTCTCTCTCTCTCTCCTGTCTGGAGTTGCTATTTTTGGGACCCCTTCATTTGCAATGACAATAGCAAAGATTGTTTGTTCAAAGCTTGTGATTCCCTTGTAGGTGATTGGGATGCAGTTGAAGTAATTTTAGTGAGTAATTATTTATTTCCTGTGTGCTGTGTTTCAAATTGCATTCATTCACCCATGTTCAAATTATGTCAAGGTAATAGGGGGAAGTGTAATGCATCACTGTGAGAAAATACTGTACAGTTAAATTTCTATATGTGCATGTTTTGCAAATTTTCAAACAGTTTTCAATGCTTCCAAATACTGTATATAAGGTGGCATTGGCTGAAATCTGACCTCTGAGGTCGTAAGGACATTCTTCCTGATCTTCGCTTTTTTTCTTGGTAGTGATGCAAAATTTGAAAACTGGTAGTCAAGGAAAAGATATTAAGTTACTCAAGTCAGAGGTCAATTGAAGGAAGTTCCCGTAAATCATACCAAACTTGCTTTGGGACTTTTTTATTTTTACTCAAAAACTATGTCACTCCTGTGATGTGCTGAGTTACCCGAAGGTCAACAAAACTTGAACAAGTTTTCCAGAATGGGGTGGAGTCATCAAGTGAGTGTGAGTCAATGATTGAGTGTCCCCGTAATGTCAACTATCCGCGGAATGGCGCGTAATGGCGGACAGATGCGAAAAGCGCGCGCCTTGAAAATTCAGTCCCTGAGCATCGCCCAGTGAAAATCCCGCTTCACGCCTCGTGCCTTAGAAGCACATTCACAAAAATGCATTCACTGTATTAAATACTGTTGGTGCAAGTTTTTTCTTCGCAAGTCTGAATTCCCTATTCTTGCAAACCGTGGTTGGGTGTGTGCCAGTCGAGTCGCTGGTGTTCTTGAGGTTTCTTTATAATAGCTGCGAAAGAAGTGGTTTTGGAATTCAGTCTCGTCTCTTCTGTGCTCGGCTGCGGAGAGTGCCTTTCGAATCGATTATCAGTACCGAGAAGAATTCATTGAGTATATTTATAGTTCTTTGTTCGGGAAACTTATTTTTTTTCAGGGACGAATCGCCTTCTCTAGTCTATAACTGTGTTTGCCAGTCGCGAGTGTTCTTCAGGCTTCTTTCAACCACTAGACATGTGTTGAAACTATTTTTGAGATTCAGTCGTGACCCGTCTCGTGTGTGTTCTTCGAATCAATTATTTTTACAGTGAAGTGCTCGTCAGGTGTTTTTACCGTGCCTACTTGAATTCATCGATGTGAAACGCTTGTTCTTTTCCGAGTGTGAATCGCCTTTTGTTGTCTAGCGACAATCGTGGTTGCGTGCGTGCGTACATGTTCTCGAGGCTTCTTTCAATCAATGATAGCTGTGTGAGAACTGGTTCTGGGATTCAGTCGTGTTTCGTCTCTCGTGTTCGACAGGAGTAGCTGCGAAGTGTGCTTTTTCGAAGCAATTATTATTACTGTGGAGAAGTGTCACATACGCTGGACGCGTGTCGATCACGAAATGGCCGTACCAATGGCATTTCATGCTGCTCACAAGGTTCGCGAAAACATGAACAAACCGTTGGTGATGGCGAACGAGGCGCACGAGGAGAACGCCTCGGGAGCTGACGGACACTCGAAGTTCAAATGTAAGTAGTTTTTTATGCGAGCAGTGAATTTTGTGTACTAGGATTGGAAATGCCCCGTGTCCAGAAAAAAATCGTCCGTCGGTCGATTGGATTGAGAAACCGATCACCTTCGAATTCCAAGGAGGTCAGGAAAGTTGATTCTGTCGATGGCTTTACCTTGAGGCGATTTTTCGAGTCTTCTGTGCCCGGCGTTATACTTCGTTGACTATTCCCGCGGTCGTTTCTTCTCATTACTGGATACTCTACAGTCGACTTGTTTTATAGTTTCTCCATAGTATTGCTGCTTCGCGAGGCTGACAAAAGGCAGGATAGTCATGGCGGCGAGCGAATAAAAATTTTTCTTGGAAGTGCGGTAAAGTACTGAAACGAAAGGAGTGGCTTGACGCTAATTAAGTGAGCTTTTTTTTTTTTCAAATTGAGCGTGAGAAGCCGAGTAATATTCATGTGTGAAGCTGGAAAGGTGTAGTCTTTTTGGTGTCGAATCGTATTGTAAATCAGAAATGGAGGATTACCCAGAGAGAAATGTTGCGGGTGATCGAGCGTAAGTTTCTTTCATTTTCTTCTAATGCCGAGTTTTCTTGGATCAGTTTTTATGAACTACCTCGTGACTAAAGTGGGTCTCATATTTTCTTACAGTTTTTGAAGGCTCAGGCAATGTGATGGTGCGAAGGTACAATGAGAAGATGATGAACGCCATTTGGGGACTGTACAACAGGAACTCGGCCCACAACTTGAAGAGCAACGTTGATGGCGGCGAAGTTGCACAGGTTGCCCCGGTTCCGCTTCCCCCACCTTCCAATAATGTGTAAGTTCGCAAATTTTCGAGATGGGTTATTTTTGAAAAGCTTCCTGGGGTAAGTATATATACTTGTAAAAAAATTTTGAAGGAAGGGCGTTGCGAGTGTCTTACCTTTATGTGTTTTGTAGGCCATGCGAGTGGAGCGTTAAGAATTATATGCGCTGCTCTGCATAGGTAACGTTTCGTTTGGTCTATCCTTTGGTTTGTATGATCCCCTGCGGTGCTTTGTTTTTTTTTCTCTTGTTTTGGTTGTCTTTTTCCATCTGTTCTGAGTTGCCGTCGGGAGTTTCGGCGCAGACCTGGAGGTTGGACCAAAAGGAGGAGCCAGAAGTGGCAGAGAAGTTGCATTTACTGTTTCATGGTGGCATCCGTTGGTTATTTCTCTCTGAATTTCTTGTCTTTCTTGAGAAGTTTTCTGTCCTACTGCAGGGTTTGATGTACACTGTACGTGTATATTTTCAAGCTCTGCGGTGTGAGATACAGTACTTCCGTAAGAAAAAAAGTAAAATGTCCGCTGAAAGTGGACGTAAAATTTTTTTTTTAGAATTGAGAGCCAGTTGAGTATGTACATGTGATGGTTGGAAAGTTTGTGTCAGAATGTCGAAGTGCATTTGTACACTTGCTAATGATTTTTCAGCGAACCTCTCGTTCAAGTGTCCAGATCTTGAAAATTGTGGTGTGATTCTGATCTTAATTTCAACCTTTGCGAATGAAATAAATAAAGTAACAGTAGTCACAAGAAGATCAAATACGAGACTGGCAAAACTTACTACCAACCCGTGTATATGCGTAAAGTGTCAAAAGATTCGAGTAATTTTAGTTTCCATCCCTCCTCTCGGTTATTGAAAATTTGAAATTCACTTGAGTACCATGTGTCTTTGAATGAGACTTGCACTGGGGGTTTTTAGCATAAAATTGTATCCCGAAGTAAGACGCGCAAACGTTTTTTAGTGACTTTAAAACTACAAGATTTCAAAAATAAGAGCACCAAAATTTCGATTTTGGCATGGCTTGAAGTTGGATTAAGTTAATTCTCATTTTTCTTCTGAAACTAGTCCGAAATTTTCAGTTGAAATTAAATGTAATGCACTCCTAAACTCAGAAAACTTTTTGAAAATTTTTTACCAGCATATGACACCCACCCCTTTTTTTCTCTCCGTTGTGAGGAAAAAGGTGCATGTGGTACTCAAGTAAATGAAGTACTGATGACTTTTTACAAATTTCTGTGGACTTTCTCTCTGCAATGATTCTTTTTACAGCAATTGATTTTTTACTGAGTGATTCAATTTTGTATTTATTCGATGAGCATTGCTGAGAGAGTCTTTCAAAATTGAATGCCAAAGCAGAAAATTTGCAGTTTTCTGTGATCGTGCTGTGTTCAGTGGATAACTGACTGGCTCTGTGATGCAAGCCTCAAAAGCTCTTTACTCCTTAAACGGTCTTCTAATTTCTTGAAATTTTCAATATCCTGAGCATTTTTCAAACGGGATGATTGAGCTTTTTTCTTTGTTTTCTTCTCCCCCCCACTTTTTTCACAGAATGTCATTTGACTCAGTTGCTTACCAGATCAGCCGCATTACTCCAGGGTTGCTGAACATGCATCCATAGGGAAAGGCCAGTGGGGACTTGGGCGAGAAAGCGGTACAGGAGGAAACAACGGTTTGACCAGCTACTAACCCCGAGGCAGGCGGTATTTTTTTTTTCATATGTATTTGCTTATAATATTGAAAGGTGTCAGCGGAGGTGTTCAGTATTCCTGACTTTGTCCCTCATCAGTCCGTAAACCATGCGAAACGAAAGCGGAATCTTCCCGGAAGGAAGGAAAGGAAAGAATAGAGTCGACGAAAAGTATGTGTGTAGATGAAGTGAGACTGAACGGTTCGGTGACTGAACACCAAAGTTGATCCGACTCTTTTTTTTTGTCGGTGGAATGATGATTTTTTGTGTTTTTAAATATTGCGATTTTTTTCCTTTGATCGCGAAGGACGAGTTGAGGTTGTGGAGAGTTCGGTGAGGCAGTGATAGAAAACGGATATTCTGCTTTTTTGGCCGAAAATTGCGCATTTTTTGTTATTCCTCGGTTTTTTCATGTCCCATACCGATGGAGTGTTTGAAGGAATACAGGAATGCGTTGTTTAAAAAAAAGAACACATTTCCCTTTTATTCAAGGTTATTCGAATGGTGCTTCATCCGATGGACTGTGTTTGTGTACTGCATTTGAAAAAAATACATAGTTTGAGCTGTCAAACTGGTGAACTGGGTAATCAGCTGTTAGAAAACGGAAAACTAATTTCCCAGATGCAGCAACATATATTTTAAAAATGTAGGTAGTTTTTAAAAATGTCTTATGACAAAGTAAGTCCGTTTTGCTGGGCTTTTTGGATCGAACAATGCATTTATTTGATATGTTGCTGAAAATTGGATCGTGAACAGATTTCCAAATCAGCAGTGTTTTTTGTACATTTCCTTTTATAGGAGTAATTTGTGTTAAATTTTTTCTTCTTCATTGTGCCTCAAAGCGCACTGTGGCCCAGCATGGCATTGTTATAAATCTTACAATGGTTAGATTTTATAAAATCTTTGCATTGCCAATGTACTGCACAATTTTGTCATTTATTTTAATAGTACTTTAAATTCAAGTACAGATAGTTGAAGTAATGCATGTTCATACTGTTACATTGTTGAGAAGTCCTGTGTAACGTTATTTGTGCATTACAAGTAGGTGACCCTTCATTGGCAATTTAATGTTACACAGAGCTTCTATTAAGTGGTACTGGACATAAAGCAATTATAAATAATAGTGGATTGGTTGTCTATTGTCCCAAATCTTTCAGCAGAAGTCTTTGTTGCCAATTGTTGAACAGGTGCCTCAAGAATAGTTTGAAACTTGAAAAACTCGAATTGAAGCAGTCATTCAGTTAGAATGCTGTACAATTCAGGTGCCATCAATACCTGCCTGAATAGAATTATGCTGAATGCAACCATCACCATTTTGATCAATCAGCAGCCTTTCCCGAAGTAAGTTTCTTGTGCTCTGTGTCGTATGAAGTCAAGATCGTTGCTGCTGTATTCAACTGCGGAAAAACAGCTATCGTCTGACTTTTTGATGATCTATGAACCTGTTCGATTGATGTCAATCTGTTCTGCAAATCATGGTGCAATAATCCTGTACTCCTTCGTTCTTGGAGGGGTGCTAGGAGAATGCGGCTCTGTGGCAAGACTTCAAAGAACGCATGAGCTGAATAATATGGCGGTTGCCCTCTCGACGATTTTTAGTCGAATCGCCGGTTGCTGAACGTGAAGTCGGAGCTTCTCCGCGTAGTGTTTTCGAGGAAGTAATCCCGAGGAGAGATGTGTGAAATTTACCGAGATGAAACTGTCGAAAAATACCTCTTGCAATCCATTGGATCAGTTCTTTTTTAACTGGCTGTATATTCAATTACATAGTCCACTTGTTTTTTTTTTTTTCGTTCCGCCTCTATTCGTGGTGTTGTCCGATTGATACCGCGCTATTTAGACGTGTAATGGTGTCAATTATCACCAGCTATTGTCGAGTGGAGCTTCATTGTGCGATAGTGATCTCCTCGCATGGAGTGAACTCCTTGTTCTTCTCCGGTGTGGATTTGCGATCGAGATATTTGTGTTCCTGTATCTCGAAGCAGCGTCAAGTGTCATTTTCTCATTCTTAAGGTTCCTGTGTTGCTTTAGTTGAAGTATCCCAAATCTGTCACCACGGATCTCTCGGGCAGTTATCGCGGCGGGCTGGCGAATGAAGCCCGTTCCGGTGAGATTATTTATCCAGTATTACAGTATCAGTGATCGTCCTAGATGCTAACCTTGGTCGCTCTTACACAGCGCCAGAACTCATCGAAGAAGCAGTGGAAGAACGCGTGATTAACGAAGAATACAGAATATGGAAGAAGAACACTCCTTTTCTTTACGATCTCGTCATGACGCACGCGTTGGAATGGCCGAGTCTCACTGTCCAGTGGCTTCCAGACGTGACTCGACCAGAAGGCAAAGACTACGCTGTACATCGTCTCATCCTTGGCACTCACACATCAGATGAACAAAACCATCTTCTCATTGCCAGTGTTCAGCTTCCCAACGAAGACTCGCACTTCGATGCGTCTCAGTATGACCCTGAAAAAGCAGGTTTGTTCTCATCTCGTTTTACGATTTTCTAGATTTCTGCGGGGTTCAGTTTTCACGTTAAATTACTGTGAATTTTCATCCTGCAGATTTCGGAACATTCAGCACAGTCAGCGGCAAGATTGACATAGAAATCAAGATCAACCACGAAGGAGAAGTGAACCGTGCGAGATACATGCCTCAAAACCCGTGTGTAATCGCGACTAAGACCCCAAGCAGTGAAGTCTTGGTCTTTGACTACACCAAACATCCGGCTACTCCGGGTCCCAGTGGAGAATGTCATCCGGATATCCGACTTCGCGGACATCAAAAGGAAGGATATGGACTCTCGTGGAACCCGAATCTCAATGGGCACTTGCTCAGTGCGTCTGATGATCACACGATTTGTCTGTGGGACATCAACACCACTCCGAAAGAAAACCGCGTAGTGGATGCGAAAAATGTCTTCACTGGACACACTGCAGTCGTTGAGGTTCGAGCAAACATTTACATTAGCACTAACAGTTACATTTTTCTTGCTTTTCTCTTTCCTGCTTCAATAAAGTAGTAGCCAGAAGGCCTGAAGAAATTCGAGTTATGAGGGAAGAATACGCGGGAATATTTTTGTGCCTTATTAAAAATCGAACTCTTGGCTGGTGAAAAGTAAATCCCAGGATCTTCAGTAAAAATGATCTCGTTTCTTGTTCAACTCTTTAAAATACTGTATGTCGTTTTTTTGAATCCGGTGGCGCGTGAATCGCCATGTAAAGCAAGGAAATAACTTCCTTTATTTTCTCGTATGTTTTGCGTGAGAAGTGAATGATTATGAAATTTTGAATGTTATTTTTTGAAGGATGTAGCTTGGCATTTGCTGCACGAATCTGTGTTTGGATCCGTTGCGGACGACCATAAGTTGATGGTCTGGGACACTCGAGTGCATGTGACAAATAAGCCATCCCATGCCGTGGATGCTCATGCTGCTGAAGTCAATTGCTTGTCATTCAATCCGTACTCCGAGTTCATTCTGGCGACTGGAAGCGCTGACAAGGTCTGTTCTTTTCTCATTTTCTTGCAATTTACTATTGACCGATTTTTTCCCCATAGAAAAGTCTCGGAAGTCCGAATGTTCTTCGATGAAAATTTTTTTTTATCCTTTTGTTTTCGGTGCACAGGAAGAGTCGAGTCATACGCACGTCATTCGATTATGAATCGATGCTCTGGGAATTACATCTAAATGTGGAGCTATTTAGCTTGGATTTTTTGGTTGTCAAGAAGTTTTTTCTTCTTCATGTATGGATTGGAAAGAAAAAATGTTTGAATTTATCTATTGCCTCCTGATTTCAGATGCATTTTCTGGGTAGATCTTGTGACTCGTATTGTATTTAATTTTTTGAGGTTTCGGCATTTGCGACTGTATTTCATTCTCTTTTGTTCATTTCGCAGACTGTGGCCCTGTGGGACCTGAGAAATCTGAAGCTGAAGTTGCACTCTTTCGAGTCTCACCGGGACGAGATCTTCCAAGTCCAATGGTCTCCACACAATGAAACAATTCTCGCGTCTTCCGGAACCGACAGAAGGCTTCATGTTTGGGATTTGAGCAAAATCGGCGAAGAACAAGGCGCAGATGATGCTGAAGACGGGCCTCCTGAACTTCTCGTAAGATTATTTTTGTTACACGTAACTAAAAGAAAAAGCCGAGTTTTGGTTTTTGAATCACCAACGACGCCATAAATATACCATAACGGTGGTAACCTGTTCAATCTGAAGTGATTTGCCTGTGACTAGCACAAATCACTGTTGGAAAACGTAACCTTATTGTGCGAGGAATGTTTCGAAAATTCTTTCACATCCTTGAAATCAATTTTTTTTAGTCAGAATCCTTCAAATTAAGACGTATCTGTGTTGACTTTTCGATGATATCCAACACTTGCAGACCTCATTTGTTCGAATTCTTTCTTTTTTCAGTTGAAACTTGATTAGAAATCAGCATCACTGACGTTCAAATTTCTGATTTCGGAGCCCTTTTTTCTCATTATCCATTCTCGGTTTACAGATGTGAGGTTTACTCAAGTCGAGAATAAAATATCGATTCGAGCGACTACAGAAAATCTTGGAGTTTTGATTTGAGGACTCATGAATGGGGAAATCAATTTGCCATTTGATATTCATTCATGACGATTTTATTTTTGCAGTTTATTCACGGTGGACACATGGCAAAAATATCTGACTTTTCCTGGAACCCCAACGAACCTTGGGTCA